GCTAAAGACACGCCACTTCTTAAGGGACAGAGCTTAGTATCTACATCCCAGCCCTTGCGGGAGACGCCGCCTCCTCTCTGCCGAACGCCTGCAGGACGAAGGCGGCTGCGCGGCGTCACAGAGCAGTCGGAGCCGCCACGTCCGGCTGTGGGACCCAAGGCCCATCGAAACCAACCAGGCACGTGCAGCTGAACCCCTTCGCTTGCAAACCCTCAGCCCTGATGCTCGAGTGTCCTGTCCTTTAGAAGCGATCCTAAACTCCCGGTAGTAATCTGAAGATTAAATAACACTGGCAAAGTTTCCCTGCCCCTAACAACTGGTCTTTCCCTTCTCCTAGGTGCAGCTGGTATCTATTGTTATAGCTGTCCTTTTTTCTTTCCTTTTTTTTTTTTTGTTTTCTTAACAGACTAAAACACTTGCATTTGTTTTCATGACATCACCAGGCAAAACACTGTCAAGTTCTCCGAATTCTTCCAATGTGGGCACCGAAGTTATCCCTATTTCAGCAGAAACAGTCAAAGTCCCCTGAGGAACGAGGTGTAGCAGCTTGCACGCCGAGTCGAATGCTGAGCAAGACTGCAAGTGCGATTCACACCCCCTTCCTGCCAGACCTGGGTGCTCCGTGGCGGGCACAGGCAATCCAAGGCGGGTGTCGACCAGGGGTACTGAATAACGAACACCAGAGGAGAAACGGTTTCCTTACTTGAGCAATTACTAGAAATTCTGAAGCTGTGTGCCTAGTTACGAAGTCTGGCTTTTCTTCAGACCAGCTGGCCAGTCCAGCCCCCGTTCTCCGTAAACACCCTCTTTGTCTATGGAAACATCCTCATGCGAAAGGTGAGGCAGAAGCAAAAAGGTTTACACTCACGTCTCTCTCCCGAGGCCACTGATGCAATTAGCGCTCTTCAAGCATGACCTCATGCAAGCCAGGGACAGTGAAAATCCCAGACATGAACGAGGACCCCAGCGGGCCACCATGAAATTCTGGTGTATCGGTGCTGAGATTACCGTAAAAGCCCTTTTTAAGGGAGAGGGAGGGAGAATCACTTGCACGCTAAGAGCAATCAATTTATTCCATATTCCTGCTAGCAATTCATAAAACAGCAGGCCACGAAACGGCGTCAGCTCAGCCAGCCATTAGGAACGCAGTAGAAAGCATCTTATCTCGCAGAGCAAGCGAGTCCTGGCTGTGAACAGAACCAAGTGCTTCCGAAGTTGGTGCACTGAGAGTGTCAGTAACCTGCCCACAGAGAAGTTTTTCCTGGCTCTATCAGTTAAAGGTTCACCTCCATCTTGAAGTTGCTAGGTTCAAAACCCAGAAGAACATTGCTGAGCTCATACCCCTCAGAAATCTACTGATGGGTGAACACTGCCCACAGCCACACAAGGCTGTGTACAGAAAACAAAAGCACGTGTGATCAGGGCAACCACCATGAGACGGCCAGGAAAGAGGCTGCTACCTTTCATCCCCGTGATGATCTCTGAGAGCTGAGCCACCCAGCTGCGTCCTCGGAAAGCGTGGCTGTTTCCGAGTCCACTCTAAGACGAACTGCAGTGTAAACAGGAAGCAGAGCTGACAGCAGATGTGCTGCAGATGGCTGCAAACCCCACAGAGGGACCGGCAGGGACCCACCGTCCTCCCAAAGACCAAGGGACCAGCCTAAGCCTCAGCACATGAGTCGCCGCTCAGCCCTTTGGATGCTGTTCTGCAGGCAGGGGAGACGCACAGATTTTCCACCAAGAGGCACTTCAAAAACATTCAACATGGAGAGACAGTGGCGCTCCAGAAGCTGAGACCATGGAGCTGTTCATGGGGCTTCCTGCTAGGGAATTCTGGCCATTTCCAAACATCGTCCTGCCTTCGGCATGTCCCCACCACTCCCCTATGTGCAGGTTTAAGGAATTCTTATTCCAAAACATACTTTATGCTGTAGGCATGCCCTATAATTAGCGCCCACAACTAACTCTATTGCCTTTATTTTGTCTCCTATGCTATGCCACCAGCCTTAAAAATATACAAAATTACAGACCTAGCAGGGTAAGAATTAAACTAATGCTCACAACTCTGCGCCTCTAAGGAAGCAGCCAGCAAGAGGAGGAGGCAACCACACGGTCTCCATCCTAGGAAAAAGAAAGAAAATGGCACAAAAATAAGACAGCAGAAACGTCAGACTTCCCCTTTCCTGCTGTCCTGACTACCAGGAAGTTAAACCACATTTTGACAAAGCAAGTTAGGGAAGAGAGGCAGCTTCGACACCTTTGTGAACACCAGAAAAATATTACTCATGCCAAAGGCAGATATTTAAATACGAGAGACTCCTTAGGAAATATCCAGGAAAACACTTCTCAAAAACTAACAGCAAAGGAATATTTGACAATCACACGTTCAGAGCAGCTAGAAGAGCCACAGGTAGAGGAGTCAGAAAAGCAGGACTCTCCCCGCACTCTTCCCTGGCTGTTCGCTGGTGGCCAGCTGGCGGATCCTGCGGTCATCAGGCCTCCAGCCTGGTCTAGGGTGGCCTTCCCCGCGCTCCCTGTAAGAGATCTTCCACTTTGGAAAGAGTTCTTTATGATTTTCAAAACTCAGTATCAGAGCCTGCACGGCAGAGATAAGTAACCACCACCATACGCCATCCATTTCAGCTCTGAGTCAGCGCAGAGCAATTCCTGCTAACGTGCTTCACCCAGGCTAACTATAAAGTACACCCAACATCTCCACGAATTCTTGTGAAAGAGTCAAAAGTGATCAATGTAACCACAAATACAAAACACCGGCAAAACTGGAAACCAAAAAAGAAAACAATCCGAAACAGAACTGTGTTCAGCCAAAAAAAACGTTTTGGAAAGACGCTGAGCTCTTTTTCAATAGCAAGACCCAAACTGTGGCTCTTGACTCTTTGTTCAACGCACACACAAAAGCAGCAAGGCTTCGGGGAGCCCTTCCCCGTACCCACCCCGGGATCCTCTGGAAACACAGCCACCATTTAGGATGTGTCGAAAACGTCTCTGTGTTACGCTTGAGCATTTGGTTTAAGTTTGCTTCCGAGTTTATCGGTCGGGTAAAGCTTCAGAGCTTTCCTAACAAAATACAGCTTAAGCATCGCAACTTTGCGCGGCCGAAAGGGGTTTTTGAGGTTTTTTTTTTTTATCTTTCAGAAGCCGCTGTAAGCTGCGCTGCCCAGAACAAACCG